AATCCAGTCTGACCCCCTGGTCTGGTTTCTAGGAGCTCATGGACATGTTCAGCCCTGGAAGTGACTGGGGCAGAGGTAGACCCCCTGACCTGTCTGAAGGGCAGTACTGGACGAAGCAGGCTTCCCAGAGGCGGGGCCATGCCTGAGGAGCCTCTAGGCAAGAGGCCCTAGGAGGCCTAAGCATGGCCCCGGGAACTCCTGGTGTCCATGGAGGGGCCCTCTTTGGTCACTGCAGGTCCAGTGACACCCTGCTCCCAGACAGCCCAGGATGGGCATGACTCTTCCATGTGAGGTGCTTGCCCCCCAGGGACCTGGCTGCAGTCTTCCATTTCCAAAAGTGGCTTTCTAGTCCCCTGCTCATCTCTCACCCCTGGGCTCACCAGGGGGCCTCTAGGACCTCTGGGTTCCTGCCCCTTCCACCCGATGGGGACCCCACTCATGGGGACTCTGAAAGGTAGCCCCTCCTAAAACTTCAATATGCACACTGGACATCCCCCTCCAGGGAGGCCCTGGAGCCCATTGGACAGGGCAGCAGGCCCTGCTGCTCGAGAGCTGGACCTCCCCGGCTGGTGCTGGTCCTCAGGTACTTGGCCCAGGCTGCCCCCTAGAGGGGTGCTCCTGCCTTTTGCTCTACAGCCTGGATGTCTGTGCAGGTAAAAGGGCCCACAGGAACCAGGGGCACAGGGGACTGGAGGCCACAGCTCCGAGCAAGGTCAGCAGAGGGCCTTCCATTCTGCGGGGATGGTAGGTGGCTGCTGGGCTTTCCTGCAGCCGGTCAGGGGACCTCTGCCTGGCATGGCCCTGGTACTGGACAAGACATCTGTTCCTCTCAACTCTGCCCCTCTCCTGCCTGAAGCCCTGCCAGGTAGCCCAGGAAAGGGGCTCATTTCTTGCCAGCTGCCTGTGCTGGGAGATGAGCTGGGTTCAAAGGAGCCGGCTCAGCACTAAACTAAGAAAACGGTGAAGAAATCATGCACCACACGACATGAGTTTCTCCTATTGAGGGTGGGACTGCCCTGCGACCCTAAGGGTCAGTTTCCACGCTGGACAGCGCTGGGAAGAGAGCGTGAACTCAGAATCTCTTTATTTTTATAGTGGGGACACACAAAGGAGCTTTGATGGAATGTTCTTCACCAAATAAGGCAGGTGGAGTCTTGCTCGGTGGTGTCTTGTGGTCAGCAGATTGGTTGCCATCATGGCAAGTCACACCCATCTCAGGTGCTGTGCGGGATCACAGGCGGAGTGAGAGGAAAGGCACACTTATGTGGCACGGCCCAATCAGCGAGCAACGCCAGACCTGTCCCCTCATATCACTCCAGTGCGCAGAGCTCTCACACACAGCCCACAGATGGCTCGCGACACGTCCATCACAGCCACTCCTGGATAGCCCTCTGACTTGCTGCTCTCTGGGCCCTTGGCTGGGCCTCTGCTGGGCACCATGCAAGGTGGCTTGGGTGAGAGGACAGGGCTGGTTCTCCCTTGTGCCCTGGGAGCTCATGCCAGACCAGGAGAACAAGGGAAGAAGGTCATAGATGCCAGAGGGTTGGGAGACCAGGTATCCAAGATGGTGCCCCTGGCTGCAGAATCGTGGCACTTGGGCTTCTGCCTGGAGTCCCCTTAGGTACCCCAAGGGGATGGCAGCCCTTCTGCCCGCTCCTTATCCCAGAGGTGGAGAAAGGTCAGAAGCCCCAGCTCAGGCTGTTCCTTGGCCCCAAGGTTCTATTTCAGACGGGGGCAATGTCGGTGGCTGAGCCTCCACTCTGGGGCGGGGGGGGAAAGCAAGGCTGTGCTGGGCAGTGAGGACCAGGGTGGGGGCCCCAGGGACACCTGTCCACCTAAGGAAGAGAAGCCCACCTGGGCCGATGGGGTGAGGGCAGGGAGGGTGGGGAGCATGCGGTGTGGGGTGCCAAGCTGTTGGGTGCGGCTGTCCCTCTGGAGCCTGATTCTCAGAAGGTTGGGTCAGAGGTCTGGAAGGAAGGGTGCATCTCTAGGGACAGGACTTGGTGGCCCAGACCTTGGGCTGGAGGGAAGACCACCCCCTGCTCCCTTCCCATGACTCTCAGTTACCTCTCAGGAATGGGACCCCCTGCCTTTGATGGCAGGTAGGCTAGAGGTCACAGGTCACAGGCCTGGGGGCCTCCCTCTGAGTCCAGAGTCCTTCAGGCCCTTGGCCTCCCCCAGGGTCACTGCAGCCCCAAGTGCCTCTCCCGAGGAGCTCAGTGTGGGTCTGCCAGGACTGGAGAGGCTTGTGGCTCCCTGGTTTCTATTTACATCCCTGGGTCTCCCTCCTGTCCTGAGCCACCTCCTCCTGACCCTGCTGGGTCACCTGTTCCACGACACCTCCTCCTATGATGCTGAGTTTTCTAGATTCAGGCAACTTCGCTGCTTCCTGCAGCCCCTGTCTCGGCCCACCTCTTCCGCACCTCCATAGGTCCTCTGACTTTGGCTTTCCCTCAAGAACCTGCTTTCCTAACTGTGAATTTCCTAATGTCGCCATCTTCTGCAATCTGGATAGGCCGAGAATTTCCCAAATTATCAAATTACTACAACATATTTCCACATACTTGTTGGCTTAGAACCACACACTCAGCTGGGTCCGGTGGTGCATATCTGAGTAGCTATAATCCTGGCTACTTGGGAGGCTGAGGCAGGAGGATGGCAAGTTCAAGTCCAGCCTGCAACTTCATGAGACCCTGTCTCAAAATTTAAAAAAAGGAAAAAAAAATTTAAAAAAAGGACTGGGGATGTGGCTCAGTGCTTGCCTCACACATGTCGGGCCCTGCGTTCAATCCCAAGCACTGCAAACAAAGCAAAGCCCACACTTGTTGGCTTGAAACCACACATTCCAAAGGCCAGCAGTCGGAAATCAGAAGATCACCGAGTTGGAATCAAGGTGTTGGCAGAGCCTGGCTCTGGCTTCCCGGAGGCTCCATGGGTTGTGCCAGCCTCCTCCAGCCTCTGGCCTTGTGCCCACGCCCCCCCAATCTCTGCTCCCTCTTCATAGGGCGACTCCTCTGGGTCTCATCTCCCTCTGCCTGTCTCAGGAAGGACACTTGAGAGGACATTGAGGGTCCAGCTGGATAATCCAGGATAATCTGGATCTCAAATCCTCAATTTATTTAAAAGGCAGAAAGATAAGAGGGAAAGAAGGAAGGAAAGATAAGAGAGAAGGGAGAAAGGGGCCAGGCCTGTGGAGGTGTAGGACACTGTCTTCTAGCACTGAAATGTCAGTGAGCGTGAGAATCACTGTACAGAAGACACTCCACATGGCTCTATGGACCAGGAATGAGGACGCTGTCATTCTTTAGGACCCAGCCCGAAACAGACCTCCACACCCTGCTGGGCTCACAGTCCGCACGGACCTTTGTAGACTTCAAGGCGTGTTTAGAATAAGAAAGGCTGTGGCCCAGCCTATAATCCCAGAGATTTGGAGGCTGAGGCAGAAGGATCCCAAGTTCAAAGCCAGCCTCTGCAATTTAGGTGTCTCTAAATAAAGTACAAAAAAGGTCTGGGGACATGGGTCCGTGGTAAAGTGCCCGTGGGTTCAATCCCTAGACACCCCCCAAAAAAAAAGTGAATGACTGAATATGGGCAAAAGGTCCCAGTATGAATTTAGAAAGGCGCAGGGGTGCAGCTGAGTGGAGGAGCATGGGCTTAGCTTGTACAAGACCCTGGGTTCTATCCCAGCACCAAAAATAAACAATACATTCATTTTAGTAAAATAAACTTTTTAAAAAGTCTCATTTTCTGTCTAAACAATATGACATTATTAAGATATTCTACATTATTTTTACCTTGAATATTTGAAATGATGTGTTTATTTTACATAGGCAGTGCATCTGAATTTTCAGAAAGCATAATTTTCTTGTGGGGGACCGTGCTAGGGATCTAACCCAGGGCCTCCTGTATGCTAACCAAGCGCTCTACCACTGAGCCATATCCTGAGTCCTTTACACTTTATTTTGAGACAGAGTCTCTCTAAGGACCCAAGCTGGCCTCAAAAATGTGATCCTCCTGCCTCAGTCTCCGAAGTCACTGGTTTTCTAGTTTTTACATAATGCCCTTTTTCTGTTCCAAGATCTCATCCAGTATACTATATTAGATGTAGTCATTGTATTAGGCTAATTGTTTTACTGTTGTAGGGACAAACAAGGCAAGACACTGAAGATAGCAAAAACCATTTTATTTGGCTGCAGCCAGGTTCAGAGGGCACAGCTTTTGCTGTAATCAATCAATCCCCTGAACCCCGAGTTCAGGGAGTTGCAGAGTTTTATACCCAGCATATAAGGGGAGGGGCTCAGAAATTCACAGTCTGCAGAAGTTCACAGTTTTTAAGCAGCTTTTTATTTCACTGTTTTGGGCAACAAAGACAACACCTGAGAAGTGGGGAGCTTCTTCTCTCCTTTCTTTCCTCCCCCTGCCAACTGTTACCATGGAGCCCAACTGTAACTTATCTTTTCTTTTAATATTTATTTTTTAGTTTTTGGTGAACACAACATCTTTATTTATTTATTTTTTTTTAGAGAGAGAGAGAGAGAGAATTTCAACATTTATTTTTTAGTTTTCAGCGGACACAACGTCTTTGTTTGTATGTGGTGCTGAGGATCGAACCCCGGGCCACACTCATGCCAGGTGAGCCTACTACCGCTTGAGCCACATCCCCAGCCCATAACTTATCTTAAAAATGTAGACATCTCTGTGGAGTCCAGCTCAAGGCCAGAGGCCTTGTTTACACATTTCTACAAACTACTTCACTGTGAAAACTAGTAAGGGGGTGTCCAGCACCTGGAGTTCTGGTATCTTCCTGGCCAGTGGCCAAGTAAAACAGGGCAACTTGAAAACAGGAAGTTTATCTACATTGAACTCTTTGCAGAGAGTCTCTTGCTGACAGTCCTAAAATCAGCCATGGTGAAGATTTCTGGAGAGGCCCAGTTAAAATTTTCCTTTGGAGAAAGAGGGTGCCACTACATTACTACAATTAAATACCAGAGGGAGGTTACTTTATAAAGAAAACAAGTTTATTTTGACTTCTGATTCTGGAGGAACAAGGTTGAGGGGTCACATTTGGTGGTGGCCTTTCTGCCTGCAGAATCCCAAAATAGTGTGTCACATGGCAAGAGACAGGGAGCACTATGGGCTTGCCTCACATGCACAAGGCCCTGGGTTCGATCCCCAGCAACAAAAAATAAATAAAAATAAAACCACTATTGGGGTGGCCAGCACCGCCAGGGTAGGTTCCTGCTCAGGAGGTGTGAGCTGCTTGGGAAATAAAAAGTCTGAAATAATCAGAAATAAAGACAGAGTCAGAAATTAGATAGGAAAAGGGGAGCACCTGATGGGTCTTCCAGTCCCGACGGGAGCTGGAACCGAACAGCTGAAGACGCCCCGATTCTTTATTGAAGGAGAGTCCATCAAAGCCAGGGAGAAGGCTTCAGTGGGAAGAGTCTTGGTTTGCGGTTGCTCCTGGGTGCAGCAGGGGTCTTGCAGCAAACAGGTGGATTGGCATTTTGCCAAGCCACACCCATCTCTGAGAGGCTGGTGGCTCCAGCTGGGTCACCGATCTCTGGTGCTGTGCTGAACTTGTGGGGCTGGGCGGGACGCCACGTGAACCAGGCGTTCTAAACCAGCAGGGTCGCTGCAGCAGGCTTTCCTGCCTAATGGTCCACATCGCTTTAGCTCCTGCACAGCTCGCAGATGGCCGCTGGCAGCCACCTGGATTCAATTAGGACAGCCACCCTGATGACCTCAAATCCTAATCACCGCCCAAGGCCCCCTCCAAATGTCATAGTCAGATTACGTTTCCACCTTCTGCTATCTCAGGATGGGGATCTGACTTCAGCTCATCCCAGGGACATAAACCGCAGCAGTACTCTGCCTCCTCAGGGTTCTGGGCTGTGAGGCTCCTCAGACTTTCTGGGTTTTGATCTTGACAACGTGAGATCTGTCTTGGTGGTGGAGTGTTTGTTCTCACAATTAGACTGGGGTTAGAGGCTTTAGGGAGGAAGGTCAGAAAAAACAAAAAGTCATTTTTGCATCGTATGGTATCAAGGGTAGTATCAATAAGGGCACCTCATGGTTAATGTTGAATTGGTCAAGGTCAAGGTTTTGCCAGGTTTCTCTACTGGGAAGTTATTTTTTCCCCCTTCCTATACTGTGCTCTTCAGAAGGAACACAGCCCTCAGCTAAAGAGTGTGGGGGGGGTTTGCTCCACCACCTCAGGGGCACAGTATTACATAAATTATTTGGAATCCTTCTGCAGGTGAGATTTGTCTCTCCTCCCTTATATGCTTCCCATATCAGGGATTGGACCTAGGGGTGCTCTATACCACTGGCCTTCTAGTTTGAGACAGCTTCATTAAGGTGCCAAGGCTGGCCTCAAACTTGTGATCCTCCTGTCTCAGCCTCCTGAGTACCTGGACAGACAGGTACGTACCACTGTGCCAGACTCAATCATTTATTTATGTATGTATTTATTTATTTATTGTGGTGCTGGGGATTGAACTCTGGGCCTTATGCATGCAAGGCAAACACTCTACCAACTGAGCTATATCCCCAACCCTCAATCATTTATTTAGATCAATATTAACTCATGTCCTGCCCACGTCCCACGAAGGCGGTAGGGTCAGAGTTCCTCTGCATGGAGTGAACTGGCTGTGAAATAAAGCTAAGAAAGGAAGGTGGCGGAAATCCACACTACACAGAAAGTAACTTTGAACAGCGAGGGCCACCCTTAGGGGTCCAGCTTCCACAGTGGAGAGAGAGAAAGACAGCGTTCAGTTTATTTACACAAGGGAGTTTCAAAGGTGTTCTTCAGAGTGTTCTTCACCAATAAGGCAGGAGCTGGGCTGTCTAAACCCAGAGGGTTACGCCCAATTCCAGAGCTAGGAGAGCTGTGTGATAGAGAGAGACGTCACGCCTCGGGCAGTCTACCCTTGGGAATGCCGGGATTGTTCCCAAGGGGAGACCTAGGGCCCCGTAGCTCAGCATAGAGGAAAAGACCACTCAAGTAGCCTCATGGGGGGCGACCACGCGCATGATGTCTATTCTATGGATCATAATCCAGTACGACCTCATTTCTACTTTGTATTTTCTATTTATTTTGTTGCTCAAATTGTCCCAACTTTGGCCATTGGGAGCTCCTGAGTCCTTTTGGTATAGCCCTTTAAGTGTAGTTTTTGAGCAATTTGGGAAGATTAGATATAAATAAATGCCACAATGATGGGGTTTTAACTCAGTAGCAAAGCACTTGCCTAGCAGGCAAGAGGCCCTGGGTTCTCCCCCAGTATGGAAAAAAAAAAAAAAAAAGCCACAAAACTACTACCAAATCCAGACAGTGAAACAGTGAGTATCTTCATCACCTCACAAAGATCTCCCAAGGATCTCCTCTTGCCCCTTCTATAATCCACCCCTCCTGCTCTCCTCCATGACTTTCCCACCCCAGGCAACTCTGGCCACAGACTAGTTCGCATCCCCTGTTCGGATGGTATCTGCAGTGAGGACTCTTCACTGTCCGCCTCTTTCACTCAGCATAATTCTTTTTTTTTTTTTTCCGAGGGGGGGTGGTTCTGGGATTGAACCCAGGGGGACTCAACCACTGAGCCCCATCCCCAACCTATTTTGTGTTTTATTTAGTGACAGGGTCTCACTGAGTTCCTTAGTACCTTGCAGTTGCTGAGGCTGGCTTTGAACTTGCGATCCTCCTGCCTCAGCCTCCCTAGCTGCTGGGATTACAGGTGTGTGTGGCATGATTCTTATGCATCTCATCCCTTCTGTAGGTCCTGGGTTCGATGAGGGCAGTGAGACACTCAGAGCCCCCCTGAAGTGTTGGGGAGGGGCAGATGGCAGAGTGAGCCCTGGGGAGTCGTGGAGTGGGCAGGAGTGGCAGGACTCCTGGGGTCCCCATTGGCCACTGTGCCGGAACAGTAGGCAAGAAAGGAGCCAGGTAGGAAGGATGGGCAGGTTGGTAGTTGTGGCAGCACTGAAGTGAGAGGTCCTGGGGGTCTATCCCAGAGGGAGTTGTAAATGCAGGCCTGGAGTTAGGATAAGGCTGAGCTGAGGACACAGGTGAGGTCCTTCAGAATAGAGATGGTGACAGAAACCAGGGAAGAGAGGTATGGTCAAGGATGTGTGCACTGACCTCCAAGGGGCTAGGACTAAACCCTGAAGAACTCAATTTTCTTGCAGAAGAGGAGAGGACAGAGGTGACTGGAAAGCATGTCCAGAGAGGCTAAAGGTAAACCAGTAGCGGTGGGGTCACAGAGATACAGAGGGGCTTGTGACTGTACTGCTGGCACCCAGAAAGGTGGCCACCCAGGAAGGTGGTTACAGAAGTTCAGCCCAAAATGGGGCTCATGGGCTGGCAAGGTCTGGGTTCTGCCTACACAGAAGCTCCACTGTTTCCTGTGTGCAAGAACCTGTGGGCCTAGCAACCTGTTCCCAGGGATCCCTGCAGCAACAGAGAAGAACGCACCTGTCTTAGTCTGTTCCTGCTGCTATTAACAAAAATTCCACACACCAGGGGTGGTGGTGCATGCCAGGAATCCCAGCAACTCGGGAGGCTGAGGCAGGAGGATCGTGAGTTCAAAGCCAGATTCAACAACTTAGACCCTAAGAAACTAAGTGAGCCTTGACTCTACATAAAATAGAAAAAGGGCTGGAGCTGTGGCTCGGTGGTTAAGTACCTTTGGGTTCATACCCGATTAAAAAAAAAAAGCCACAGACTGGGTTATTTAAAAATGATATATATTGCCCACACTTCTGGAAGCTGGAAAGCCAAGATGAAGACACCAGCAGGGTCAGTGTCTGGCCAGTTCCCCATGGTTGGCACTGTGCAGGTGTCCTCGCCATATGGAATGAGTGGAAGGCAAAAAAGGTCTGACTAGTTCCCTGGAGCCCCTTCACGAGTACTAATTCCATTCATGAGAGGTGGTTTAATTACCTCCTCAAATTCTCACCTCTTAACACTGTCACACTGGGTATTAAGTTCCTGCTTATAGATTTTGGGGGAATAGTAGCAATAGTCAGCATTCTGCCCCTTCATCTGGCCTTCAGGGGAGGATGAGGGCGAGACTCAGATCAGGAAGCAGTCAAGGAGGAGAAAAGCCAGGGAAGGAGCAGAGAGAAAGGGTGGGGTGGGAGCAGGGCTGGTGTAGAGGATTGGGTTGGGTGCAATCAGGGACAGGCTGGGGCTGAGAGATAGTTAGGGATGGGGCCTCAGGCCCAGACTGAACTCCCCTTTCCCTTATTTAGCCCGGAGATTCACTCAGACTTGAGTCTAGGTCTTCATCCTGCTCAGCTACAGCTTGTTCCTCTGCCCTGAGGCCCCGTGGGCATTAAGCAGATGGCCTAGTGCTGGAATGAATTGAGAGGCACCACAGGGACCAAGGGCAGTGAGGCAGAACCAGCACTGTTCAGCAAGCCAAGAGCTGTCTTGGTCAAGAGGACAAAAAGAGAAGAAATTTGCCTTGGCAGATGAACTGGGCATTGGGTTTCCTTCCTAGATTTAGTAAAGGATAAAGCATCCTATCCTAGGGTGGAGCAGCTGCTGGGTGGGCAAAAAATAGGGGTGTCTCAGGCATCAGTCTCATATCAACCTTACCAGCCTCTCCCTATTCATTTTTCCCCCACTTAATTCAAACACATCTCAATGCAGGAGATATCTTTCATTATTCCTGCATTGCAAGTGGGAAAACGCAAATTGGAGAAGGCAAAGAGAGGTGATGGTTGATGGTTCTCCTGCTCCCCAGCAGTGCTGTGGCTGCAACAGGCTGTAAAACAGGTCACACCAACAAAGCCAGGTGGCTAGGGACACGGATCAGTGCCTCCAGCTAAGCCAAGCCAGTTAAGCTCCATTAGGTCCCTCTCAAAGTCTTGATCTCCCTAGGGGCTAAAGGAAATAGCTGGAACAAATCTCAAATGGGCGACATCCCTGAATCTGCCTGTTTCCCATTTTGTAAAAAGTGCTCTCGATTCTCCAGTGTTGCCGTTCCCAGAGACCAGTTGGCCCAGCACCTCGGACACGGTGCCTACAACTCAGTGTCCATGGGAATACTGGGAGGATTCTTCGAGCTCTTCCAGGTCCCTGTCCTGGCTCCAATTCTTTCTGGGAAAGCAAAGCAGCCCCTGAGTCACCTGCTTCTCCTAAGCCACTGTCCTCGCCTTGGGCTCCCATCTCCACCCGCATGCCCAGACTCCATGGGGGCCGGACATTGCGGCCTCAGGTCCCAAGGTAGAGGCAGTGGCAGAACCCTGGGCAGAGAGGGTGGAAGGCGGAGACGGAGCGGGGCGGAGCCCGAGCACGCCCCGCCCCTCCGGATCTCCGCCAGCCACGCCCCTCCGGGCCGCCAGGTGGGGCCTTCCCAGGGCTGCCCTCCGAGAAGCCTAGGCGGTGGAGGCTCGGGCGCTCAGCCCGGGTGAGCGAGCCCGGCGGTGAGGCGCGGCAACCCAGACTCCTGCTCTGCCCCATCCTGCCCGGGGGCCTCCGGGTCGGCCAGCCCGGCGCTGCGCGTGGGCTGCCTGAGACACGTGATTTCCTAGGCCCCGCTTTGGGTTTGGAAAAGTTTATGGTTTGGGTTACCGCAGAGGTGTACTCGGGAGGGCAGGAAGAGCTCGAATCGCCGCCACCTCGGGTCGGGCCCCCACCGCGGCCTTCACTGAAGCCGGGGCCCTTTCCTTGACGGTCGTCAGGATTCAATCTCTTTCGAATGGGTGCACACTGCAGAAGAGGCTAACCACGTATCGCAGGCTGTCGCACCGCTCGGAAGCCACGCAGCACGCCGAGCGGCCGAGCCGCGGCTGGCACGCAGGTACGCGCCGATCACCGCCGACACCTGTTGCAGACGCACCCTCGGAAGCCAGAGGCCTTGAGTCGCTTCCAGACACCCCCCGGTGTACTTCTGCGGCTCTGGTTGGCACACACGGCTAATCCGAATAGGGCTGCCGGTCCCAGCTCGGCGTCACCATCACCCTAGGCAACCCGCCGCGCTTCCGGAACCCGGCCCTTTAAGGAGAGCCCGAGCCTGCGCGTCTTGGTTTCGCGCGCCCGCCCGTGGCCTCGGAGGAACGAACATGGCCCAGGCGGCGCGGGCGGCGCGGGCGGCTGGGGCGGCTCGGGCGCTGTGGCCCGGTCGGTGCGCGTTGGCAGAGAGGCTGGGCGGCCGCCCCTGGCCACCATTCCTCGCGCAGAGCCGGGCGGGCTTCGCGGGGGCTGCTGGTGGCCCGGGGACCCCTGCCGCCGCCGCCCGCAAGGGGAGCCCGCGGCTACTGGGGGCGGCGGCGCTAGCCCTGGGGGGCGCCCTGGGGCTGTACCACACCGCACGGTGGCACCTGCGCGCCCAGGACCTCCGCGCCGAGCGCTCAGCCGCCCAGGTAAGGCCTGGCTGGGCTGTGGATGGAGATTCTGGGATCAGCGACGAAACTAGACTCCTGGGAACCAGTGGGGTCGGGAGTCGCCTCCTCCGCCTGCTTGTGACCTTGGGCTAGCGACTCGGCCTTTGGTGTCAACCGGCAGCCTCCTCATCCGTAAAATGGGGACGCGACTGCTGCTTACTAGCCCAGAACTGTGTGTATTTCTCATGAAATCGTTGTGTCTGAAGCAGCAGCACTTTCATGGAACTAGTGACCCTTTGACTCCAGGCCCTGAAATGAAGGTGTCCCTCTAGCCCGGTGGTGACTCAGCCACCCTTGAGAGCTTATAGGCTGCACCACTACAGCCCCCTCCTCATGCGGATGCCCCTTTCCTGACCGGGGGAGGGGAGTGGATTAGGCGTGGCACCCTGCCCACCTGTGTCCAGTCCCAGGTTTCCCCTGTGAACCCAACCCTGAGGGAGGTGGTCCTGGCGGCCCTGGTCAGCCCTCCCCCTTGCAGAATTGAGATGGACCAACTGAGTTGTGCTGGCCTAGGTACCAAATAGCTCTGTCCCCTCACCCAGAGGTCCCTGGGGTTGGTGCACTGCCGCTGGAGAGAGGCACAGCCTGGGACATCCTTTGAGACTGGAGGGGAACGATCAGTGTCCGAACAGTGTTGGGCAGAGACACTGGAGGGTTCTTCTAAGCAGACCTTCCACAGGTGCTGGCCCTGCCCTGAGGCCTGCCAGCTGGTGGCCTACACCTGGGCCGTCCGCCACGGCAGCCCCTTCCCTGCCTGCCACCCTGTTCTCCCCGTATTCTCAGGGTCAACTCAAAAGACTCCCTGGGAAAGGTGTCTGCCCAGGTGGGGCCTGGGCAGGGGTGCCAGGCCTCAGAAGCCCCTCCTCTGCTCCCCCTCAGCTCTCCTTGTCCAGCCGCCTGCAGCTGACCCTGTACCAGTACAAGACATGTCCCTTCTGCAGCAAAGTCCGTGCCTTCCTGGACTTCCACGCCCTGCCTTACGAGGTGGTGGAGGTGAACCCTGTGCGCCGGACTGAGATCAAATTCTCCTCATACAGGAAGGTGCCCATCTTGGTGGCCCAGGACGGAGACAGCTTGGTGAGCCTCAGGGACTCCCCACCTTGCTCTGTCTTGGGTTGACTCTGGCCCTGTGGTGCATGGCTGGGCCCAGACACAGGGGTCCCTGGCTCCTGCCCCCACCATTAGCCACACTTGGTTGCCCTGAGGCAGAATGAGGGCCTGAGGGAAGGGAGGGCCAAGCTCAGGGGGCATTGGTTTTAGGGACCAGTCCTTGAGGATGGATAAACAGGGTTCAGGTCCCACACAACCAGTTCACTCACAGCCCTGGTGTCAGTGTTTTTAGGAGCCAGTGGGTCCTACTGGTGCCAGCCAGAACCTTTGATCTAAACCTCCTCTTCTCTTTCAGCAACAACTGAACGATTCCTCTGTCATTATCAGTGCCCTCAAAACCTACTTGGTGTCTGGGTAAGGAGTCCCTGGGAAGCCCAGGTAGGCGGGGGTGGGGCTGCTGCTGAGATTTCCAGAATGGGCCAGTGTTGTCCTCCCCTGAGACCTCTGTCAGGGACGTGCTCCCGGTGTCTAACCCAAATCCTTTTTGCTTCATGAGGGTGAAGAGCCTTTATGGGTCAGTCCTGGCTCCAGCTGGGCTGGGTGAGGCTGGGTTGGTGGCCAGGGGACAGGAGAAGGAAGGAGCTGGTGAGAATGTGGCTCTCTCTCACAGGCAGCCCCTGGAAGAGGTCATCACCTATTACCCACCCATGAAGTCTATGAATGACCAGGGCAAGGAGGTGACCGAGTTCTGCAACAAGTACTGGCTCATGCTGGATGAGAAGGAGGCCCAGCGCATGTATGGTGGCAAGGAGGCGAGGACGTGAGTGGGACCGGGGCCTCCTGGGGTAGTGGTGAGGACACATCGACTGTGTGGGAGAGCGTGGGAGGCCACCACCCCGGGAGTGTGGGCAGGCTGTGGGGAGGCTTCCGCTCCTGCACTCCAGGCCCTGGCTCGGGAAGTCCACTTGCCCTGATGTCCTTCTTGGGCCTGTAGGGAGGAGATGAAGTGGCGGCAGTGGGCAGACGACTGGCTGGTGCACCTCATCTCGCCCAACGTGTACCGCACGCCTGCCGAGGCCCTGGCCTCCTTCGACTACATAGTCCGTGAGGGCAAGTTCGGGGCCCTGGAGGGCGCCATGGCCAAGTATGCGGGCGCAGCCGCCATGTACCTCATCAGCAAGCGCCTCAAGAGCAGGTGATGGCGTGTGCATGTGCTCCGAGGCATGACCCTCTGTGTGCTGGTCCCATTAACCCTCTGGGGAGGATGGCGGGAGATGGGGCCCAGAGGAGGCAAGGCAGGACAGAGGCCCAGAGGAGGCCAGGCAGAATGGAGCCCAGAGGAGGCCAGGCAGGATGGAGTCCAGAGGAGGCAAGGTGGGACGGGGGCCACTGGACACAAGGCAGGACGGGTCTAGCACGCCTGATCCCCTTGGGGACTGAAGCCAGGGCTCTGCCTCATGCCTTCCTCCGCTCCTATACTCGGGGTGAGTCACTGGCCCTTATCCCATCTGGGACATCTCTGCAGGTGCCTCCCGTCATGTGGGGGCCTCCCTGCTCACCCAGCCTTCCCATTCCCCAGAGGAGGCCCCGCTTCCACCTAGGCCAGGGAGCATCCTCCTGATGGGACCCCCTGCTCCTGCCAGGCACCACCTCCGGGACGACGTGCGAGAGGACCTCTATGAGGCGGCGAACAAGTGGGTGGCAGCAGTCGGCGGAGACCGGCCCTTCATGGGGGGCCAGACGCCCAACCTCGCTGACCTGGTGGGTGTAGTGCTGGCGGGCAGTGCCCAGATGAGGCCTTGGGGTGGGGGACTGGAAGGAAAGCCCAGGCCATGACTGTGACCACCCAGAGGCAGCTGTGTGCCCCCGCTCAGGGGCAGAGACCCAGCTCAAGAGTAGCCTAAGGGAAAAGCCGACTACCAGGAACTGTCCTGTTCCCATAACTGACAAGTCCAGGGGAGGGGTGGTTTTTAGGCCTGGCTGGATCCAGGGGCCCAAGGGCAGCATCAGGGCCGAGACTGTCCCCGTCATCGTCTCACCCTGCCTTCCCTGGGGTTGGTCAGCCTTGGGTAGGTCTGGGTGGGACTCCAGGCTTCCACCCGGCAAAGTCTTACTGCCTGGCTTCAGTGGCAGCTCTGAAGCAGTCCTGCAAGGCTGGGCTGGCCCCGTGGTGGAGCGCGCCTGGCACGCAAGGCCCGGGGTCGAGCCCAGCCACCAAAACAAGGAACAGCCAGAGTGGCCTGGGCCTTAGAGTAGAGTCCTGGGATCTCCTCCCCAAATCTCAGGCCCTGAGAGCCAGGAGGACATTTTCCCCAGGGAGACTGGAGGCGGACTCCTGCCTAGAAGGAGCAGGCGACAGCCATCCTGTGCATCTCATTCAAGCTCCATGCGCAAAGTTGACCCTTCAGTGGGTCATGAGGTCTGAGTGGGGATGTGACAGGCCCCAGGCACACAGCTGGCAGAGGAGCAGACAGGTCTGGGTGCTCCCTGGGGCCGCTGTGCCCGTCTGGCCCGGCCTCAGGTCCGTTGTCCCCACCCCAGGCAGTGTATGGCGTGCTGCGGGTGATGGAGGGTCTGGAGGCCTTCGACGACCTGATGCGGCACACGCACATCCAGCCCTGGTACCTGCGGGTGGAGAAGGCCATTGCCGAGGCCCCCCCAGTGCACTGAGCCGCCCCGCCCAGTGGAGGGTAGCAGCAGAGGAGGCCAGCTGCTGGGAACCGGGGCCTGGCCAGGCCCTGCGAAGCTGTGTGTGCTGGGAGTGGCGGGGTGTCTACCCGTGTCCGCCTCCCCAGCCTCGGACTCCTGAATGCCCGTAGGGCCTGGGTACTGGGCAGGGCCCGGGCTGGATCTCCCCATGACACCCGAGGGTCACAGGCTATGGAGAGCCCACCCCTCCTCCTCCCTCCTGCTCCCACCAGGCCCAGGTCCAGTCCTCCATTCTGGACCTCTTGCCCTCAGCCTTCTGGTGAGTTTCTTGGTGGCTGTCCTGGGGCCACACCCTGAGGGTGGGGTCAGCCTGGCTCCCACTGTGGATGCAGGCGGAGGCCAGTCCAGAAGAGTCCCCTCCCCAGGCCCCAGGTTCCGCGGTTCCCAGGTGCTGCCTGGGACTGTTGGCACGTTTGCAATAAAAAAATGTTTGCTGCTCCCCTGTGTGGTTGTGTCCTGAGGTCCGCGTGGCCAGAGCCAGGGCCAAGCCACAGCAGTAACTGCCGTTAGTCTAGTGTCTGCAGTCGGTGGGAGCCAGGTGGCTCACTGCCATGGAGTGACCCTAGCCT